CTGATTCTTCAGATCTAGAGATCTTTTGTTCGTGGTGGCAAAGGGTGGCTGGTTTTGATTCTTAAGATCGGCTTGTCTTCTCGTCTTCTCGCCTCTCGTCTACCTCCTTGCTTCGCCCTGCTGATCTCGGCGTTTCGGAGATGCTAGTAGCCTTCCCCTGTGGATCGGCTCGGACTCAGCGGGGAGATCAGAAGACAGAGACTCGATCTATGTGTTTTGTCGTCGGACGCCCATTCGTTCTGAAGATCGGCTCGTGCATGGCCTTCTGGGAGCATCTGAAGACGTTCTGGTCCGATGAGGTAAGGTTGAGAGGCGAGTATTGGTTCTGTTGTGCTCGTCTTGCTTCGTTCCGCATCTGGGGTGGTAGGCTTTTGCATTCCAGCCTCATTTCGCTTCCAGTGGAGTTGGTTCTCTCTTTCTGGTGCTGGGTTGTGATGGTGGTCGGCGGATGTTGTTGTTACCAGCGACGGCGGCTGCACATAGAAGATGGAATCAGCTAGGGTTGGGGTTTTGTCCTGGTGTGGGCTCTTTGTGGGTGTTTGTGGGCTAATGTGTTTTGGTCTTTTGGACACTTATTTTTGGGCCTGTGTTTTTGGGCTTTTCTCCTTCTTTGCTGGTTCTGTTTGTTGTCTTTCCTCTGGGTTTTTAACCCACTTTGTACACTTCTCAGTTTTAATGAAACTGTCATTTGTCAAAAAAAACTCTATGTTGCTCTGAGGACTTGAGCTTTGCTTGCACAAGGTTCTACTATTTACAAAATTGAGATAAATTTTCTTTCTTCGTGTGATTACGGCAGTTGGTGGTGGTTGTGGCCTTGTTCTCTGACTCACTAGTACACTTGTCACAATCAATAAGTGACTCCTAAACCAGCTAGTAGCTACTTAACTAAAACGGTACTAGTGAAGCTCTTCTTTGGCCCAATTACATAAAGAAAACAACACAAATAAAATGAGAGGCATGGAAATGGATTGGCTAACAGTAGTAAACCAACACTCGACCAGTAAAAAGACCAGCAGACGTAACAACACTCCGCCAGTAAAAAGACCAGCAGCCAATGCTGCTACCAATTAACTACTTCGTGTGTACTATTTTGTAACTTTCTTCCTAAAGTGGAAACAACACTTTGCAGTCCTGTTTTCCTTCAAGCTTGGGCTCTTCTTGTTCCTCCATGATGGACAACGAAACAAAGGTAAACTCACCAGCCAATTCAGACCTTAGTGCAACCCAACCATGCTCTACATCATCTGTACTTCCCGCAAAATGTATGATTCTTCCTGCATTCCTTTTGGCTATGATATGGACGTGTGATGATGGGAATTGTGGGTGGGTTGGTGATTGTGGTGGACGAACAGAAGGGAGAGAGAGGAGGTTTGGACGTGAGATAGAGAGAGGGAAATTGGGACGTTGATTAATTTGGTTGTTTATTTTTTAATTACTCCAAAATGACAATCAAGGTAGACTTATAGTCTCCCGCTCCTATCAACTACTATAATAATCCCATATCTCCCTAATATTTTCAACAATCCCCAAATTCTCTAAAATTCCTTTGAATATCCTCAAATAACAATAGTAATTAAAATAATAAACTCGCGACACATCATCAATCAGTGTATAACACCCTATCCTGTAAGTATTACCTAATCAATTTGTTCATGCAATTGAGCGGAATTTGACTTGGGTATTACAATAATTCCCAAAATTTATCCTAATTAAAATTCTGTACGAATTACTCGCGTAGTGGGCTAACAGTTCTTGCAACTAAACCTGCAAAATATTTTATCTGAATCTCTACATTCATAGACATACATATATACCCACAACCATATACATTGGCTTTTCATAGTCATAGTCACAATTTCATACTCTGTAACTGCATACTTACTTTTAAATGTCATAATCTTCACAACTTACATGACCACGCATATATACACATATCATCAACTTTCCACACCTGTGGATAGCTCACACTACATCAGAAGCTAGTATGCACATCAAAAATATTCTCAAAACATTTTCACAAAAAGGTGTGGATCACTGTCCAAAATCCAAAGTAGTCATCCAAGCACTGAATAGTTGAAGGCAGAACCTCATACTGCCTTCAATTCCTTGCTCTGCTCACACCTATGTACTTGCTACTGTTATTGCTGATGATTTGCTTACACGTGGCATAAGCATAGTAGAAGAATAAAGGAGGGTCAACTCATAGTTGAGTGAGAAAAATCCAACCTTCTTCTTCCTTCTCATAACCCTAGCTCTGAAAGCTTCTCTATATTGTATCAAAGATGGAACAAATCCAGTGACCTCGATGATAACAACTCCACCACCTGGATCTACTAATGGAATTCCCTTGAGTGCTAGTGTCATACAATTTTGTACTCATGAATTGCAATCAAGCACAATCAACAACAACAAAAATAGCAACAAATAGGCGCAAGAGATGTTGTTTGGTAACCATATAGTATAGAGTACCAGATGTGGCAGCGAGCAATTAGAATGACTTTGATAACTAAACATAAGATTAGGTTTATCAATGGATCCATCTCTATTGCAGATCTCAGTGACCCTAATTATGGTTCGTGGGATGCTTGTTGCACTCTTTTTTGTGTTGGATTCTGAACTCCATTGAGAAGAGATAAGGAGAAGTGGGATGCAACATGAGAATGTCTAACTCTTCGGGAAGAGTTGAAGAAAAGGTTTGTTATAAAACCATAACACAAACATACACATTGGTGTTACCAGTTACCGGATATATTATTACTAATGATATTTCTCTTATTGGTAAAACTTATCGATAATGGATAATTTTTCTCCCCTTCAACATTTATAAGAACAATTACACTGCCTAGGAACAAAAGGATGAGTGCGGTAGTCACAATGTCCTTCTCCGCCGTAGCGGCTCTTGCAGTCATCCCAACAACGTTCTACCGTGGTGCAATCCCATGTCGTCCAACAATCTTTAGCTTCCGCTACAATCTTTGCACGACCTTTATAATAATCACACAACTATAAGTAATTTATGTAGGAAATAAATTAATTAATAATATACATTCATCTACACCTGATTCTTTTTCATATGTTTCATATTTGTCTTAATCAATTTTACCTGAGGAGGAGATGACCAGAAGGAAGAAGAAGAAGCATAGTACAGAAGACTTAGCCATGTCTTTGGAAAACTGAAGAGGAGAGAGGTAGTTCTATATTTTAGTTTTATGTTTTCTCAGTTATTTGATTGTCTTTGCGTTTGGTTGTGCTATTTATAAGAAAATAGTATTGTACGATTCAACGCGTCAGAAGAAAGTTTTGCATGAAACGGACAACAAAAGGACATAAGGCAACATCATAACTGCTTACCATAAAAAAGATAGAGAAAGAAAAAAGAAAAAAAGGCAAGAGATAATGGAAAAGTAAGGAAACAAAGACTCCATCATAATTAAGTGACCTTTTAAGCCTTTATCTTTTCAGATATTTTTGACTAGTCAAAATTCACTCTATATATTCTCATATTTTCTTAATGTGTCAGAAGAAATTTTTGCATGAAATGGACAAGAAAAGGAAATAGTCAACATCATAACTGCTTACCAATGAAAAAGATAGAAAAAGAAAAAAGGCAAGAGAAAATATAAAAGTAAGGAAAATAAGGCTACATCATAATTAAGTGACGTTTTAAGCCTTTTTTTAATATATTTTTTACCATTCAAAATTCACTTTTTATATTCTCGTATTTTCTTAATATGTGTTGAAGATAATTTTGCATGAAACGGACAAGAAAATGACATAAGTCAACATCATAACTACTTACCAATAAAAAAGATAGAGAAAGAAAAAGAAAAAAGGCACGAGGTAATGGAAATGTAAAGAAAATAAGGCTACATTATAATTAACTAACGTTCTATGAATTCTACGATGCTCAATGCATATACTTTCTATGATTTAATGAGATGTTTTGTTCATTGTGAATTTATGATATTTGTTAATTGTTCCATTAGATGCCTTTGTCATGTGGTGGCTATGTTATTTGAATATCGTAGCTTTGTGATGCCCTAACCATACGATGTTTATATCATTAATTAATTATATGCTACTATATGATCTCTTAAATATCATCATAGGGTGCATAGTAAACTAATCTTATTTGATATGTCTTTGCCTCATATATGCATGAATAACACGATAATGACACATGTTTATCCCCTCACTTCTTAGTCAATTGAGCATGAATTCTTGCTCCTCAAGCATAATTTACGCTTGGTTAAGTTCAATTGTCACATTTCATGTCTTAGCACGTAAAGGGAGGCATAGGGACGAAAGTTTTGGGTCAATCGGAGGTCATTTGGTACTTCAAAATTGAGTCCGAAAGAACATTTGTCATACAACCATTCAACATTTTGGCTATTTTGTGTATTTCTAAAAAATTGGCTATTATTGTCACAAACTCGAAAGTTATGACTATACAATTGTATTTTGCCTTTTTTACATTTCTTGGTTTGGGCTCTCGTGTATACAAGATTGCACCGATAGGGAGCGCTCCTTGTGACATGTCGGATATCATAAATCGTAATAATAGGACTGTCAGATAAGGAACTTGTTGGACAAGTAGAATTAGGGTAGTACATGGATCGGGTGGCCCGGTTTTGACCCTTCATAGCTACCAAATCCATTGGTCACTGCATCACAAGTAAAGTAATAGATGACCCAAACCCAATCATTAAACACTTGAAACCCTATATGGGTTCAGGTAGGAAGTGGGTCGGTTTGGATTGGTTCAACCTGTAAATTTGGATGAAATGTACACATTTGATGAACTTGTTTTAATTTCGTTGCCCGAGATGTTTATTTCCCGCCGTGTAAACTTCACTTTTCCAATTCAAATGCGGCGAGTTATGCTAATTATTAACATCGTTGCTTTTTCGTGTATATGCCTTACATCTTCTATATTCAAAACAAAATTGGACTGATTATATATAGACAGCTACGTACTTAAAGCAGTACTTGTCAATTAATTATGCTTCATTCTTAAAAGGGTGGTACGTTTTGAGAGACTCGATGAGTCCTTCCACTGATCCCGCGGCTGCGACGAGTGAAACAAGCAAACAGGCGAAACTCAAGGCTTGCAGGCACATCCAGGAGAAGGAGAGCTTCGACACTTTCGCTCGGACGATGTACATCTCGATCGGAAAGTAGACAGTCAGAGGCCAAAAAGAGACTGCCCCGATCAGGCCCAAGAAAACGTTGAAGAACGGGAGGACCATGGCCAAGACGGTGGTCACTGCCACGTAGGCGGACCTCCAAACCAATTTGAACCAGTTGACGTGGAAGCTCGTGCCACCTAGGTATGGAATGGTGATCTGGTGGTCCGTCGTGACGAACTTGACCTCTGGCCACCTCTGACGACAGCTGGACTCCACCAAGCTAAAAATCGGCTGTGCAAACACCTGCAGCCCCACATATATATTATTTAATTAAATGAATATCTGTACATAAGGCAATCAATTGAGGGCTCTAATTAAATTGAACTGACTTGGTAAGCGCCGATGAGGTGGATAGCCACGCAGACATTGGCTACGTTGAGTAGCCACACCGGATGATCGAATCCGGACCCGGACAGTAAATCCCCCGGCGCGTGTTTTCCAAACGCCGCGTAGCCAACACAGCCGCAGAGGAGGTAGAAAATTGTTGTAGTCGAGATGCCCACAACACTTGCCCGTTTCATTGCTTTGTTCTCCGCCGGGCTCGATTTCAGGGTGTCCTGCATCCAATCCAATCCAATCCACGTCTTTAACTATAAGCTAAACGAAGTACTTATTATTGATTAATTAATCCTTATCTAATTTGACTACTTGCCTGAATCTCGATGAGGACAGTGGAGTAGGCATATGCAAAGGCAATGTTGCCAATCGCTTGGAAAATTCTCCACCACCTCTGCGCCTCTGACACCATCGCTGAAGTCGCTATTGCCTCACCTCCTTCATTAAATTGAGTTCATTGCTTTATGTATATTTGTACGTAACATAAAGTTAATAATAATGCAATATGTTAATGCGAATATCTTTCTTTCCGGTTATCTACCTGAAGCAGCAACTTTGGCTATGGAGAGACCCAAGCCAATGAGCGAATAGGTGAGGGACATGACGGCGGCCAGGATGGAGAGCCAGGACAACTTGTGGAAGTTGGGCACCTGGCTAAGGATCAGCTGGATGCAGCCAAAGACGACCGCGTCCATGTAGGTGTAGTTGCGCTGGCCGGTGACCGGGTCCGGGTGGCGGTAGGCGTCGGCGAGGAGGGTGGAGGTGAAAAGGATGATGAGAGTGGCCGGTCCGGCCACCCAGCCCAGCTGGGCGATCGCCCAAGCCAGGGACAGAACCCCTGACCCGATCACCGCTGTGATGATGTGGGCGCTCGCCGTCACCCAAGTCCCTGCATTATTGCATACACAAAAATGTTCATTAGTAGGGACAGAAATTAATTAAGCAATTATATTAAGCTAGCACTGATTAAGTAACTTTAGCCAAGTGAGGAAATCGATGGCTCAGAAACTAGCTATTTATGATCATTGAATTTGCCTACAGTCACTTTTTTTAAACGGGTGGTATCAACCGACACTACAATTTACCGACGGTTTTCATTAACCGCGGCCACGAAATAATTTAGTGTCAATTGATGCACCAACTGACCGTGGGTAAGAAGTTTACTGTCGGGTAGAAACGAACAACGCTAAATCGTGAAAAAACGGACGGCTAAAATCCAGTTTTGTTGCAGTGTAGCTAGGTGGGTTAATTACCAGTTCGCATTGGGCGGCCATCATCGTCGACTCTGGTCGCCATAAAGCTTCAAATCCGCAACGAACAGTAAATGGAACTGATTAATTAATAGTGGCTGGTGATATTCCAATTTGGCGTTGGGAGAGGAAGATTAGGAATTTGGTTTAGTAACGATGCAGCAGAGAGATTCAAAGGGTTTCTCTTGACGTCGGTACTGTTTGTAATGTGCATTTCCAAATCCCCATGCACGTACGTTTATATATGCATGGCCTTCCTAAAGACGTACAACTTACGTCAAACCATTAATTCAAGAATATTGGATACGTGTAGCTAATCTCCTTGGGTGGAAGAATTGTGTACAACACTAGCTAGTTACTTGATATAGCCAAACCAAACTAGACGTCGTGGTCCGTCCTTACACCTCCAAAAGGTTGTCACTGTGAGCATTTGGGGAGGAGGGATAATGATAATACAGCAGTCTGATTTCATTTGGATTATAGCAGTTTATAAACTAATTAATATGGAGTGAATCAGCTCACCCACTGACAATTAAGTAACTTCAAACAACTTATCAGAAAGTTCAACCACTTATAATTAATATGGAGGGAAATTTAGTAGCCTAACCCATGATGTTAACTAACCTATCAAATCACGTAACTAACCTATCAAAGATATTCGCAACATCAGTAGTGTACTCCATCTTTGGGAAATCCTCACATACAGACTACAATGGCAATGATCATCTGTTTTTCAATCTCTCACAGAGTCGAACTTCACTAATTGGAAGATATAGATGACTCTTGTTATTGATGGCGTGAACAAGTACAACTTCCTCATTGATAAGATTTCTACTCCTTATGAAGGTTCTCCATTGTATAAGGGTGGAAATCAGTACGGTATCAGTATCCCGGTACCAACTATCGAAATCCCGAATAGCGAATTACACCCTAAAAACAATCTCAATCCCTAAATTAATTCGGTATCCCAATCCCAACCCCTAAATATTTCGATATCTCAATCGGTATTGTTGGTATCCCAATCAGTATTTGCAATTAATAATTACATATGTAAATTAGACTATATAATCTAATTTCAGACAAAGAGACTAGCTATAGGCAAAGGGCCTTGAGTTAGCTCAGATCTAGGACATGGATAAGGAGAAGAGAGGAGATGGTGACATCTCAATATCTTTATCATTTGCAATCTTTAATTCGGCGAATTGGAGGCCGATAAACGACTAAGAAGAGTTTATGCTTTTTGGTGTTATGAAAATAACAAGAGATTGTGTGAGAGATGAGTGACTTAAACTGGAAAGTTGAAATTGGGTTGGATGGGGTTTCTAAAGGAGAAGGCCTCCATACGTGTCTTGTCCATCCACACGAAAATGTATTCCTGGGTCTCTTTGAGGTCACAAAAAGGGAAACCCTTCACTCCCTTCCTTGTTCGACTTAAACATCTTGCTTTGATCGTGATTATGTTGTGTACCTATCTCCACGCAAAAAGATTTACCTTAGGTGGGATCTTTAGCTTCCATCCCCAATTAACCGATGTGTAGTATTCCTCCTTTTCCTCCTCATCTCTAGTCTCCTATAGCTTATACGCAGACTTAACAGAGTACTCTCCTTATTGTCACATGTCCATACCCTCTCCTCCTCGCAAGGCTGCCTGGGAATTAGAATTTTTTTGTATTTCAACTCTGTCCCCCTAGTCGAAATGAGTCTGTAATAAAATTTGGCGCCAACATCTATCTCCCGTATCCATTAATTCTCCCAATGAAGTCGTTTTCCCCAACATAGTGACTAGAGAAGTTACTTTGAACCCCTAGCTCCCTGGTACCCATTTATCATGCCAAATATTCACTTTTTCCCCTTTCCCAATCCGCCATCTGATTCTTCTCTTAACTAACTTTTGTGCAGCCATATTCCCCTCCAAGCATGACTAGGGATGTATCCCATGTCCGCTTCATTGATCTTTCTTCCCGAGTGATATTTTGCTCTCATAAGCTTTTCCACCAGAGATTTTGGCCTTTTTATCAGTCTCCATAGTTGTTTTCCAAATGGAGCCAAATTAACACTATGTAGATTACGAAAACAAAGACCCTCGTGCTTCTTTGGTCGACACAACTCCTCCCAACAAAGCCAATGAGTTTTATGTTCTTCCTGTTGTTGCCCCCAACAGAAATTTGAGATGACCAGCTGAACTTCCTTCAACACCCCTGTCGGAATCATAAATATCGACATAGCATAAGTTAACAGTTCTTGGGCCACTGACTTTATCGTCACCTCCTTTCCTACTATAGATAGGAGTTTACTTTTCCATATTTTGACCTTACTTCTCACCCTATCCACCAAATAGCCGAAAGCCGCCTTCTTTCCTCTTCCAAACTTCATTGGTAGTACCAACTATTTTTCGTGATGTTCAACAACCTTCATTCCCAAGCCTGCTGCCAACGTATCTCTTGTTTCCTTTCTGATATTTGGACTGAAAGACGGTTCTAATTTTACTAAGTTGACCTTTTGACCTGTCTCAACCTCATATAGGCCTAAAATTTGCTTCAATTGTACACACTCTTGGTTGGTCTCTTTGGTGAACAAGATATTGTCATCTACAAATAGCAGATGAGATATAATTAGTGCTCCCCTTCTAACCTGAATCCCACTTATATATCTTCCCTTCCCGTTCTACTTTAGAAATCAAACCCGACAGACCTTCTGCCACCAAAAGAAACGGATAGGGGGACATTGGGCCTCCTTGACTTAATCCTCTCGATGGGGTGAAAGTTTCAGTTTGGTGTCCATTCGCCAGTACGAAAAATGAGACAGGCGAGACGCAATACATTATCATCCTCACCCATCTGTCTGCAAAACCCAGCTTCTTCATTATGGCTTCTAGGAAACCCCACTCCACACTATCATAAGCTTTGGCAATGTCAAGCTTTGCCTCTATAAAACCTCCCTTCCCCTTCTTCTTTAGCTCCATTGTGTGAAAACGCTCAAAAGCCAGTAGGACATTATCTGTACTCAATCGACCAGGCACAAAAGCGATTTGCATTTCCACTAGGATGTCATCTAGATCCTCTTGAGTCTGTTTGCGAGAACTTTTGACAGGATTTTATACAAAACCCGACATAGACTAATAGGGCGATAATTTGCAGGACTTTTTTGAGACCTTTTTCTTTGGAGTTAATGCTATCAACGTGTGATTTAGTTGCTGTTTAGTTACATATTAATCCAATGGAGAAATCTGCGATTAATCAGGGTTCATTGAATAAGTAAAATATCATATAAATGGCAAATGAGATATCGCACATAGATATAACATAGTTTACTATAGAAGAGAAATAGTTGTTTGTATGTTTATGGATCATTTTATGTCTTGTTTAATGGTCAATTAATGAAATTTTGGACCGAAGAGTACATTTGTTACATTGTAATAATATAAAAATAAATTTGTTCAAAACTGGGACATCTGGATATGACTTTGTCTATGATATAGAAATAGGGTTTGAAATTGGGAATGTTAATGAAAATTGAGACTTAAAATTAATTAAACTAAATAAAAAAGGTGGCCTTTTATCGGTACTCTCTCACAATAAATGGGGATTTCGGTTTTGTTTGGGGAATTGTAGAGGGGGAGTAAATTAATGAAGATTAAAAAGTTGGTAAAGAAAAATAAAAATGACGGTTTTGTTTGGGGAATTTTAGAAGGGGAGTAAATTAATGAAGATTAAAAAGTTGGTAAAAAAATGAAAAAGACAAATGTGATCTTGTGGATTGAACTCATGTCCTTGAAAACAAAAGTCAAGCTTGACTTCCATTAGACTATACACCTTTTACGTAATAGGATTTACAGAACAAGTAATACTTATATAATTTGTACAAAATATCCTTAATATCTTAGGGCCGAGACCAATCCCGGGGGGCCGGGGCCCACCCTACCTTGAACATAGCTCCGCCCCTGGGGTGGAGGAATAGAGGCAGCTACAGTCATCGACATAAGAAAACAGTTGTTAGGAGAGGGAAGCATTGTGGAGGAGCTCACTTTCCCATTCAGTGAGGGAGTGAGAGAGTCAAACTGAAGCAAGGAGCAGATACGGTCGAAAGCCATGTTGGTCACTTGGCTACTATTTACTAACCATGCATTAAATTTATAGAGTTATATCTGTGAGAGGAAATGAATTCGTGAGATAGAACACGATAGAAGGAAATGAATTGGTTAGTCTAGGGATTTTGACCAGCAAGGTCAACAACCGAACCAACTCCACTATAAGCTGACTTATCCCATTTCGGGCTTAAGATTATTAGGTGGGCCAAGATAGAAACAGGCCCAATGACCAGATCCTCGAGGAAGAGGGCCCGAGGCTGCTCTGGCCCGACTCTGTCACTTAACAGAAGAACGAGGACACTGTTCTTCTCCTCCACTGAACCTGTCGAGCAAGAACAGAGGAACCAGAGAACAGGGGAGCAAATAAAATGCAGAAAGTAAATGGCACACAGGATTTTTAACGAGGTTCACCACAGGGCTACTCCTCGTCCCAGGATAGTACCACTATCCTGAGAGACACTTTTGATTTTCTTTTTATGAAGCAAAGAAAGGAGAGGAAAACAGAATTACAGACTCAAAATGTGAAAATCAAAAGGCAACAGACTCTCTTGAATTCGCGCAGGAATTCAATACACCCTTTGCTCCAGCTGATCCTTTACCTCAGCTTAGAACAAAGCCACTGATCCCAAAAACCCAACCCTTTGCCCTTTTTACCACAAAGAATCCCTGTCTTGATCAATGCCGAAGCTTTTCCTTGCGGTTCCTTTAAATAGACCTTGAGTGGAGCCGTTGAGTTTGAAAGTTGGTGCAGAGATGGCAAGTATCTTAGCTGTCCCTTGATTGATGATGATTGATCCGCTCCCCCTTAATTTGTGATGATTGATTTGCTCCCCCTGAGTGAAATGATTTGGCAATCTCTAACTTGATCATTTCAACAATCTCCCCCTAAGTTGGAGATTGCCGATTGACCGCTTGACACCTGCAAAAACAGTTGCTACCTTCCCAAGCAAGTATAATCCAACCAGTTCTAAACCAACCAGTCAAAATACCATGCATCAACAGAGTTTACTAATCAAGCATATCCACCAAATAAGCACATAGTTTAAACAACCAGCAAACATTCCACACCCCAAACATCCAGCTGGGAAAAGACCAGCAAACCAGCAATCACAGTTAGGAAATTAAACACCCAGCTGGGAAAAGACACGTCCAGCAAACCAGTACTTAAGAAACATCATTAATCAGATCCATAGGCCTTTTGAAGATCAGCAAGCACATCACTTAGGGAAGGTAATTCGGAATCGGAATCAGCACTGCTGCTGCTGTCACTGCTGCTGCTACTGCTACTTATCCAATTGACCTCTATGTCCTGATTTGGTGCTTCTTCTTCCGCAGGTTCCTCCTCTGGTTCATCGGAGTCAGAGCCATCAGAGTCATCCTCCCCCTCAACGGCAATGGCAATCTCGTCCAGAACATCATCAGCAGTGAGAAAAATGGTAGGAGTAGTGGAACGGAAGGGGTCAAGGGAGATCTCCAGACGAGTGATAAAACGAGTGAGCAAGGGGCCAAAAGGGAGATGACCATGGTATTCGAAATACTGGAACATGTAAAGATGTCCAAACAGCAGATGAGAGAAGTCAAGAGGGACATTGTTCACAGCATGTTGAATAACCCAGAGATCTAACGGAGTGACTCGATCTAGCAGGACAGTTCTAGGGAGGAAACGATGGGTGAGAAAAAAATGAAAGGTCCGAATAGCAGGGAGCAGGAAGGTAGTGGGAAGAGTGAGCAAAGCATCAGGTGCATGGCCAGTCAGATGCACAAACTCATGCTCAATATTAAAATTGAACAGAGCAAGCTCAGACTCATGGGCTAAGATTTCACCAACCTGAGGGATAGCAAGCAGACGCCTAAGGTCCTCGATAGGAACAGTGACAAGATGGCCGTAAATTAGAGTAGTAAACGTACGAGTATCTAGGCCAAAAGAGCGAAAGTTTGAGTAGAAAAGACGCACAGCTTCAGGACAGATGTGTTCCAGAGTCTCATCTATAAGAAAATCCCAGCCCAAGTTATGGATAAGATGAGTGAATTCAAGACCATACTCACCCAGGCCAACATGTGGAATCTGGTAAGTAGGAATGATGGGACGACGAGCATAGGAGACTGCATGCCTATGAGCATTGGCAGGGATGGGATCATGGAACAGAGTACCAGTGTAGGTGATGGAAAACTCGAACACCATTGGAACCCTAAGAGAGACTGCTAAGACTCGATGGAAGGATGAAGACACCAAACAAACCACACAACCCTATAAATACTTAGACCAACCAAAGAGGAAAAGGAAAATACAAAACAGGAAGAATCAAAAAGAGAAAACAAACAAAGAACTAAAGGAAAGTAGATCAAGCAATCAAATCAAGTTCTCCAGATTCTCTGGAGATCTAAGCCCGAGTTCATAGCAAAGGAAAGTGAATCGATCTGCACTTAATGGCTTAGTAAATAGATCGGCTAATTGGAACTCAGTGGGAATATGATTTAATTGGATTAAATGCTGCTCAACTAATTCCCTAATAAAGTGAAACTTTATTTCTATATGTTTTGTTCTAGAATGAAGAACGGGATTCTTGGTCATACATATAGCACTCGTGTTATCACACAGCAAGGGGATAGTTGAAACATTAATTTTGTAGTCTCTGAGTTGATTTTTTAGCCAGATGAGCTGAGTACAACAGCTCCCTGCTGCTATGTATTCAGCCTCGGCTGTAGAAAGAGCAACTGCGCTTTGTTTTTTGCATGACCAAGAGATCAAAGAGGTTCCAACAAACTGACAAGTGCCAGTGGTGCTTTTTCTATCTGAGAGGCTACCTGCGAAGTCAGAATCACTGTATCCTAAGAGCTTAAAATTGTCATGACGAGGATACCATAATCCTATTTCTGGAGTACCCTTAAGGTAACGAAATATACGTTTAATGGCACTAAGGTGACTCTCTTTAGGAGCAGATTGGAATCTGGCACAAAGACATACACTGTGTTGTATGTCTGGCCTACTAGCAGTGAGGTATAATAATGAACCTATCATCCCACGATATTTTTTCTCATCTACAGCTTTCCCAGAAGGATCTTTATCAAGTTTCAGATTAGTTGCCATAGGTGTAGGGCTTGAATTAATTGAGGTCATGTGAAATTTTTCAAGCATTTTTTGAAGATATTTGGATTGATTTATGAAGATACCAGATGGGAGTTGTTTTACTTGCAAGCCAAGAAAGAACTTTAACTCTCCCATCATGCTCATTTCAAAGACTGACTGCATGGTTTCAGAGAATTCAGTACACAACTGAGGATCACTAGAGCCAAATACTATGTCATCTACGTATATCTGAACAATAAGAATATGATTTGATACGTGTTTTATGAAAAGAGTTTTGTCAATGCTTCCCTGAACAAATGATTTTTCAAGGAGGAAAGATGAAAGACGCTCAAACCAGGCTCGAGGAGCCTGTTTGAGACCATATAAAGCTTTGTTTAGCTTATAGACATAGTCAGGGTGTTCAAAGTCTACAAAGCCAGGAGGCTGTGCAACGTAGACTTCTTCATGAATAAAACCATTTAAAAAGGCGCTTTTCACATCCATTTGGTAGAGAGGGAATCCCATAAAACTTGCAAAAGCACATAATAATCTAATGGATTCAAGCCTGGCCACAGGCGCAAAAGTTTCATCAAAATCCACTCCTTCCTCTTGAAGGTACCCTTGAGCAACTAATCTTGATTTATTTCTAATAACTATGTTGTCTTCATTTGATTTATTTCGATAAATCCACTTAGTGCCAATTACTGTAATATTTTCAGGTCTTGGAACTAAGTCCCAAACGTGTAAATGTTCAAATTGGTTTAATTCTTCTACCATTGATAAACCCCATTCTTCATCTTGAATTGCTTCTTTCCAATTTTTTGGTTCAAATTGAGAAACAAAAGCATACTGGCCAGGGGTGTACTTACCTCTAGTTTGCAGGCCATCATGGATTTTGCCAATGATCTGACTCTCTGGATGGCGTTTTTGGATGTGAGGAGGTGCTTTGGGGAGACCATCAGTGGCTTCTGTCTCTGCAATTGGTAGTTCTCTGGTGTTCGATGAGCAGGACTCAGGAGAGGACTTGGATGAGGCATCCTGTTCACTAACAACCTCTTGACAAGGATTTGTGAGCTCAGATAAATCAACAGTAATGGAAGTATCATGAGTAACTGAAACATGTTCATTGAAAATTACATGGACTGATTCTTCTACTTTTCTAGTTCTCTTGTTGAACACTCTATAAGCCTGCCCTTTTGTAGAATAACCAAGAAACGTTGCAGGGTCTGACTTAGCATCAAACTTACCTAAGGAGTCACGAGTATTTAGAGTGTAACAGGGGCAACCAAAAGGATGAAAGTATGATATCCTAGGTGTCTTGCCCTTAAGCAGCTCATAAGGAGTTTTATTTAATTTCTTTCTGACCAGAACTCGATTGACTATGTAACATGCAGTGTTTACTGACTCAGCCCAGAAAAACTTTGGTAGGTTGTAATCTAAAAGCATGGTACGAGCACATTCTATTAAGGTTCTGTTTTTACGCTCAACAACACCATTCTGTTGAGGAGTCCTAGGTGCAGAAAAGGTATGGTTTATACCAGACTTGTCACATAAGTCAGCAAAACTATCCGAGATAAATTCACCCCCATTATCACTCCTAATATTTTCTAGAGTTTTGCTGTGCAAGTTAACAAAGGATCGAAATTTCTCAAATGTTTCATCCTTATGAGCCAAGAAGAAAACCCAGGTAAACCTAGAATAGTCATCTACCAGAACAAAAACATAATTTTTTCCACCTAGGCTGGTTACATTGCAAGGACCAAACAAATCCATATGTATTAGTTCGAAGGTCTTAGAAGTTGTAATATCAGGTTTGGGCTTGAAGCTTTTTCTTTTGTGTTTTCCAGCAGCACAAGCATCACAGAAGAATTCTGCCTTATCCTTTAGAAGAGGTAATCCTCTGGCTAGATTAAGCTTAGATAAGATAGACAACTTAGACAAGCTCACATGTCCTAAGCGTTTGTGCCACAGAAATTCAGAAGAATGAGACTTAGCTTGAAGGCACTTAGCATTAGACATGCTTAGATCAGATAGATCAACTATATACATATTATTGATTCTTTTTCCCTCAAAAAGAATTTTATTCTCGTTTATCTGTTGAACAGAACATTTTTCATTTTCAAAGATGACTCGATTTCCGTTGCTGCATAACTGACTTATGGATAGAAGGTTATGTTTCAAACCATCTACCAATAAGACATTTTTTATAACAGGCAAGGGACTCTTTCCAACACAACCAGAACCAATAATGACCCCTTGACTGTCATCACCAAAAGTCACCTTACCACCACGTTTCATGTTTAAAGAATCAAACAAATACCTTTTACCTGACATGTGATGTGAACATCCACTGTCCAGGTACCATTTTGTATCATCTGAGGTAGAGTGTGTACTATGGCTAGCCTTGAGGGTCAGGTCCTCTTTTTTCAGATTTGCTGACGCCATAAAAGCTTCTTCATCTCTTGATTCTTCTTCTTCCTCTTCTGATTCATAGTCGCTCCATGTAGCTTTCATTGCTTTCTCCTTAGCTCTCAAAGTAAGGGGACAATTTGCACGGATGTGTCCAGGCTTGCCGCATTTGTAGCAGTCCTGTACTTCTCTTTCTTGGTTTCCTGTTTCAGAAGATTTGGTCTGCGGGGTACGCAGCCTATTTTGAGAGAAACTTTTGACTTTGTCAAAAGAATTAGTACGATTAAACTCACTTTTGTCATAACCCTTCTGTTTTTGTTCCTGTTTGTATTTTAACATCCTATGAAATTTGTTACTTATTAAGGCAAATTCCCTGTTGAAGTCTTCACCTAAATCATAGTCTGATTCATAGTCAGAGACTTGAGACTGGAAAGCTAAGGATTTTTTACGTTTTTCATCATCCTTGTTTACTTGTTTAATAACATGTTCGTGGCTTAACAAGGAGCCAATCAATTCATCTAACGCAAGAGTATTCAAGTTACGAGCTTCTTCTATAGCAGTCCTCTTGGGTAGCCATTCTTTGGGAAGGGATCTAAGTATTTTCCTGTTTAAGTCTTTAACAGGATAGGTTTTTCCTAGGCCCTTTAGTTTATTGATCAAAATAGTAAAACGAGAATACATCTCATGAATACCCTCACCTGGAGCCATGTTGAAGCATTCATACTCATGAACCAGTAGGTCAATCCTGGTTTCTTTGATGTTGGACGAACCTTCGTAAGTGCTCTCCAGCGAGTTCCAGATCTCCTGAGCTGTCTCACAGTGTTCGACCTTATCTGCTTCATCAGATGCCATCGCGGTCTGCAAAATGTGCATCGCCCTTTGATTGAGCTGGGCGCTCTTCTTTTGTGCTGCGGACCAGAAGTTTTGCTGATCTGCATCCATGGCGATAAGTCCATCTCGAACGACCGCCCATAAATCTTCGTCAACGCCCCACAGAAAGGTCTTCATCCTTTTCTTCCAGGCTGTGTAGTTCGATCCCGTGAAGATCGGCGGATGGTTGTAGGACGCATGCCCGAAATTTGTGGACGTCATCGCTTGGGATCTTCCCTTGGCAGTAGTGAGCTCGATCAAGGACCTGCTCTGATACCACTTGTGAGAGGAAATGAATTCGTGAGATAGAACACGATAGAAGGAAATGAATTGGTTAGTCTAGGGATTTTGACCAGCAAGGTCAACAACCGAACCAACTCCACTATAAGCTGACTTATCCCATTTCGGGCTTAAGATTATTAGGTGGGCCAAGATAGAAACAGGCCCAATGACCAGATCCTCGAGGAAGAGGGCCCGAGGCTGCTCTGGCCCGACTCTGTCACTTAACAGAAGAACGAGGACACTGTTCTTCTCCTCCACTGAACCTGTCGAGCAAGAACAGAGGAACCAGAGAACAGGGGAGCAAATAAAATGCAGAAAGTAAATGGCACACAGGATTTTTAACGAGGTTCACCACAGGGCTACTCCTCGTCCCAGGATAGTACCACTATCCTGAGAGACACTTTTGATTTTCTTTTTATGAAGCAAAGAAAGGAGAGGAAAACAGAATTACAGACTCAAAATGTGAAAATCAAAAGGCAACAGACTCTCTTGAATTCGCGCAGGAATTCAATACACCCTTTGCTCCAGCTGATCCTTTACCTCAGCTTAGAACAAAGCCACTGATCCCAAAAACCCAACCCTTTGCCCTTTTTACCACAAAGAATCCCTGTCTTGATCAATGCCGAAGCTTTTCCTTGCGGTTCCTTTAAATAGACCTTGAGTGGAGCCGTTGAGTTTGAAAGTTGGTGCAGAGATGGCAAGTATCTTAGCTGTCCCTTGATTGATGATGATTGATCCGCTCCCCCTTAATTTGTGATGATTGATTTGCTCCCCCTGAGTGAAATGATTTGGCAATCTCTAACTTGATCATTTCAACAATATCTCTTTTGGTTTAAGTCAAAATTCAAATTAGAAAAATCAGATTGATCGTACTTTTCAAAATGACATTCGTTTTCATATATTTTGGAACAAAATTGACACTTATATTATCACTCCATAACGTGGTGGAAATATTTGGTAGTATATAAAATTATACCATGACAAAATGGAATTGTATCATGATGATATTAATATACCATAGTGTAAAATGGTTGTATAGATGAGAGTAATAATATACTATTCACCACTAACCATCTTTTACCACCGTCTACCACCAGTTGCCACCATATTAACAGGGTGATATAGGGTGGTATATTTGGTCATGAATTTCTTCCCGTAAATTTGTACATCACAATAGATCAAAAAGAACTAGTTCATTTGATGCAAAAAAAAAAAAATAATTATATACAAAGGTGATAAAGACTAATAATGGGTGGTATGGAAACAAAATTCTCGAAACATATTGAAAATTGATATCCTTATGTAGATCACATTGAACTCGTTCTATTTGTGTAAATAATTAAAAATTTGGCCTAAAAGAATGAAAATAAAAGCCAATTAAAACAAACTAGTAAAAATAAAAAGTCTTTTGATCTCACCTCTTAGATATATGTTTGTTAAACGATTATCCTCTTAATTAGCAGTATAACCGGTAATCGGTGGTTAATGGTTACACCGATAACCGATTAAATAGTAAACACGGTAGCCAAATTTAGATAATTAGTAACCGATGCCTAAAAGGCTAATCAAATAATCGATTTTGACCATCCTCACAGTTAGCGTTGAAAACAATAGCCCTCAATGAGAAGCAGATATAGTCCAAACATAGTGGGATGTTTGAAGGCCTACAAGATCTCTTGTCTACAATAGTTGTAATAGAGGATTAGGTTCAACTGAGAATAATTTCAAGAAAGGGCTCTGCAAGGAGCACAATAGAAAAATGGACTTGTGCACACTAGCTCAACAACAAATCAGCAACATTTAAGATTCCATGTAATTTGGCGAGTCGTGCTCATTCATTACCTCTGGGTTTTCATGTATTTCCAGTTTCTGATCCGTACCCGAACTACCATCTTCCGTATGACTCTCAAAATCTGTCGAAGTTACGTTTTGTGATGAATGAAAACTGAGATGCTCTGCATCCTTTATATATATTTAAAAAAACATTATTTAATTGAACATCAGTAATTTAACCGGATTTCTTTGCATATGTTGTGAGAACCTAATTGAACAAGGACAAGGAGAAGAATTTTAAAATAACCGAGGACGATGGATTGGAGAAAAAATATTTAACGAGAAGATGTAGGCTATTTGCCGCTAAGGTTTGGAATACGAGGAGAAGAACAGATCCAGATCAGCAAAAAATCGAAAAAACCCCAATTTCTGTGCCTACTGCCTAGCTTGGGATATGCCTAGTACGGCGCTTAACCAGAGACGGAGCTTTTGCAGCTGTGATACGAAGGATAAGAATTGGCGGGACGCTGCGGTGCTCTTCCGCCACAAGGGCTCCGTCTTGCTACGCTTGGTGAATGCGGAGAAAGTAGTCTGTACCGAGCGATTGGACGGCACTGAAGGTACGAGTTTCGTTGCTTTAGGATCAAAGCTCTATGCTTTTGGTCCTGGTACAAGTTACTACTTTTGTGATCTGGGTAGCGGGATTGGGAAGAACAGAGACATCTACATGTTTCAGAAAGCAGGGGAACTCTGCTCAGCCAAGCCATACCCAATCGTCATTCCCTACGCCAACCGCAAGATCTTCATCATCGGCACTGGTTCGGTTCCCCTTATGAGTTGATGGAAGGAGAAGTAGCGAACCCTCATCAATTGTGCGAGGTTTTGGATGTCCATACGAATGTGGTAAGACCCATGAGTGATAAACCCCCTTTCGTTGAGAAGTATGTTCGTGGCAGTATTGGCCCGTTTTCCCGAGGTTATACTGTGGTTGGGAACATTGCGTATGTTAATGTCTTTGCATATTCAGATAGGAAGAAGAAGAAGAACACCACCAAATCCAATCCCCCGTACTGTCTCTGTAGAACTCTAATGTATTGCAAACTGACATTCTTTATTAATGACGATAGAAAGACTTAAATACTGGTGTTTACACATGATCTCAACACCTCACACGATCTGCAGCCCTACTAATCAGCTTGCATAATCTAACTGCAACTACAACTGCTCTACTCTAACTGCTCGACTCAACTGTACAAACTACAAACTACAAGGACCAAATGAACACTTAGCCAATAACACGATTTGGCTTTTATTCCACAGACTCTTAAATAAAACGATGCCGCTTCAGACTAACAGCAGCTTTCACACAATCCTAATCCGAAAAGGAAAAGGATTCCAGCTTCAGTTCAGCACTCCAACAAATCCTCCCCTGAACTGAAGCCGGATTGATCATCTTCCTTTACTCCTTCACTTCCAAGCCTTCCAGCTCACATACTCCAAGTCTGCTTCTCAAAAGCTGAAAGGTCTCAAGCTTGAGAGGCTTGGTCATCACATCTGCAACTTGCTCATTAGTTCTGCAGTACTCCAGTTCCACCACTCCTTCCTTCACCAACTCTCTCAGGAAATGGAAACGCACATCAATGTGCTTGCTCCTCCCATGCATGACTGGATTCTTTGCTAGCTTAATTGTGGAGCTGTTGTCACACCAAATAACTGTTCCAGTTTCCACACTGCTGCTCCACCTCATTTCAGTTAAAATGTTCCTAAGCCAGATGCACTGTGTGGCACAGAAACATGCTGCCACAAACTCTGCTTCAGTTGTTGACAGTGTCACAACTGGTTGCTTTTTGGAGGCCCATGATACTGCTGCTCCTGCAAGAAAAAAGACATAACCAGATGTACTCTTTCTGTCATCTGAATCCCCAGCATAGTCTGAATCTGTGTAACCAAACAACTTTCCATCTCCCTCTTCTTGCCTTTGTCTGTACCAGATTCCATGATTCACAGTACCTTTCAGGTACCTGAGAATCCTCTTTGCTGCCAACAAGTGCTGTTTGGTAGGTGAATCCATGTACCTGCTTAGCAGACAAACTGAGAACATAATGTCTGGCCTTGTTGCAGTGACATATAACAAACTTCCAATCAGCCTCTTGTACTCAGTGGGATTAACTGCAATTCCATCTCCAGCCTTAGTCAGTTTCAGACCAGGTGCTAGAGGATTGTGAACAAAGTTGCAGTCCAGCATCTTAAACTTTTCCAGAAGCTCTTTTATGTACTTGGACTGTGAAATGAATACTCCTTCTTCCTTTTGAATTACCTCCACTCCTAGAAAGTACCTCATCTTGCCCAGGTCAGTCATCTCAAACTCCGCTTGCATAGAGGCTTTGAATTCCTCAATCATCACAGAACTATTGCTGGCATACATCAAATCATCCACATATAAACTGAGCAAAAGAATATCAGACCCTGACCTTTTAATGAACAAAGTATGCTCATAGTTGCACTTCTCAAACCCAGCTTTCTCAAAATAAGCCTCAATCCTGCTATACCATGCCCTTGGTGCTTGCTTGAGTCCATACAGAGCTTTGTGTAGCCTGTATACCTTGTTTTCCTCCCCAGCAACCTCAAAACCTTGAGGTTGCTCTACATAGATCTCTTCAGTGAGTTCTCCATGTAAGAAAGCACTCTTTACATCCAACTGATGTACAGTCAAACCATGGTGAGCAGCTAAGGCCAGGAGAGTTCTGATAGTGTCCCATCTTGCAACTGGGGCAAACACCTCAGTGTAATCAATTCCCTCCTTTTGTGCATATCCTTTGACCACCAGACGTGCTTTGAACTTGTCTAGTGTCCCATCTTCCTTGAGTTTTGTTCTATACACCCACTTGAGTCCAATTGCTTGACTGCCTGCAGGCAAGTCAGTAAGCTCCCAGGTGAGATTCTTCTTGATGGATTCCATTTCAGCCTTCATTGCTTCATTCCATCTGGGATCCAGACATGCTTCTTCATATGATTGAGGATCATCAGCTAAAGCTACCAATGCTATCCACTCATCTTCTGAGAAAGAGCTGTCAAGCACAGTGAGATGAGTCTGCCAGTCATAACCATCAAGTCTTGTTGATGGCTTTCTGATTCTTTTTGTGCTAGTAGATCCCAACACATCTGTTGTGACCTCCTGATCATCTTTTCTTGCTTCTTTCTCACTTTCAGTTGCTTCTGCAGTTTTTGGACTTGCAGGTTGTGAGTCAGCTACTTCTGGATCAGGAACTGAATACTCAGTTTCTTCTTCTGCATCAGAATCTTCCCAGCTTTCATCCCTGCCTTCCCAATCCAGTGTAGTTTGATCTGCTGATGAGCCTAAATCCACATTCCACCCCTTTGTTTCATCAAAAACAACATCCCTGCTCACTGTAACTGCCTTGGTTCTGGGATTATATAGCTTATAAGCTTTGGACTCCACTGAAATCCCCAGAAAGTGACATTTCTCACTCTTATCATCAAGTTTTCTCCTGTGTTGGTCTGGTATGTGTGCATAGGCCACACAACCAAAGATCCTGAAATGAGACACTGAAGGAGGTTTTCCAGTCCACAGTTCCTGAGGAGTCTTTCCTTGATTAGCTCTGGTTGGACTCCTATTGAGTACATGACAAGTCCAAGCCACTGCTTCAGCCCAGAACCTTGATGGAACCTTCATATCACTCAACATGCATCGAACCATGTTCATCAAGGTTCTATTTCTTCTTTCTGCCACACCATTTTGCTGAGGTGTGAATGCAGCAGTCAACTGTCTTCTTATTCCAGCCTCTTCACACAGTTGCTGCAGTTCATTTAACATGAACTCACCACCCCTATCTGTTCTTAAACACTTAATCTCCACTTCCATTTCTTTCTCAACTTGTAGTTTGTATTTCCTGAAGCAGTCTATAGTGTCTGACTTTGCTACCATGAAAAACACCCACATTTTTCTGCTGAAGTCATCTATCAAAGTAAGAATGTACCTCCTCCCTCCATTAGAAATTGGAGTTATAGGTCCACAGAGATCAGCATGCACCAGTTGCAAAGCTTTGGTTGCTCTCCATTGACTTTTCTTAGGAAATGCAGTCCTGTGTTGCTTGCCAATCATGCAAGTTTCACATATCCCAATTTCTCCCTTCAGTTTTGGCAAGTCCTTCACAAGCTGCTTTGTCTGCAGTAGCTGCAAATTGGTCATTCCCAAGTGTCCAAACCTGCGATGCCACAGTGTTAGAGTAGGATCTGTAGTAACAGCAGTTTTGAGACACTGAGATTGTTGATTCTCTGGATTATGCTCAGCATGGAGCACAAACATTCGATTAGTCTTCATATCAGTCTGCAGAATCAACCCTTTCTGCTTATGATAAACTTTGCAACTTCCTTCTTCAATCACAAATGTCAAACCTCTTTCTTGCCACTGACCAAGACTTAGCAGATTGGTCTTGAGACCTGGCACATAAAACACTTCCTGTATCACAATGCTTCTTTGATTTACAAGCATTCTTACTTCCCCTTTCCCAGCAACCTCCAGCTTGCAATTGTTTCCTAGCCTCACTTTGCAGGCAAAGTTGGTATCAATGCTGGTGAACCACTTCTTGTCACCACTCATGTGGTTACTGCATCCAGAGTCTAAAAACCACCAATTTTCACTAGCATGTTCTTTAACAGGATCAAGAATTGTCATCAGACCTTGTGTTTCTTCCTCCCACTCGTTAGAGTCTTCAGTTTCAACACAGGCCATCAACAACATATCCTCATCCATGTCTCCAAGACTTCTATCTTGTACCTTGCTTGCAGTTGCATAGTGAGCTTGTTGATTTTGATACCATTCAGGGCACTCATACTGATAATGCCCCATCTTGTGGCATCTGTAACATTCAACAGATCCTTTATTCCAGCTTCTTCCTCCTCTTCCTCTACCTCTGCCTTGATAGAACCCTCTACCTCTACCACCTCTTCCAAACTCATGAGAAACCCTCAGAGCATGCTCTTCTTCAGCAACAATCCTAACAGATCTCCTGTTGAACTTTTGCTCATGCACCAGAAGCGAACTTTGCAGTGCATCAACAGTCAGAGATCCTATATCCTTTGATTCTTCTATGGAGCAGACTACATAGTTGAATTTATCAGTCAAAGTTCTAAGGATTTTTTCAACTACTTTCTCATCAGGCATATCCTCTCCACAGTTCCTCATGGTGTTAGCAACCACCATAACTCTGGCAAAGTAATCAGACACAGACTCACCTTCTTTCATCTCAAGTAATTCAAAGTTCCTTCTGAGTACCTGTAACTGAGCTTTCTGAACCCTTTCACTGCCCTGAAACTTTTCTCTCATGGAGTCCCATAGCTCCTTTGCTGTTCCCTTCTTGGCAATAGTCTTCAACAAAGTTCTGTCTATGCTGCTGAAGAGATAGTTCTTGGCTTTGAGATCCTTCAGTCTCAACTCCTCCAGAGTTTTCGTTTGTGCTGCTGTAAGCTCCTCTCCTGCTGCAGGTTCCCTGAAGCCTGGACTGATCACTAGCCAGTACTCCTTAGATCTGAGCAAGTTTTCCATAACCAAGGTCCAGTGCTCATAATCCCCATCAAACTTGGGAATACAGACCTGAGCACTGCTACCATTCTCTCCCATTGTCTCTCTTTCTCACAACCCAATCTGGCTTTCCTCACCAAGAAACTCTCGTGTTTCCCTATTCCCAGATAGTTAACAATTTCACTCAATGCTGTTTCTCTTTTGGTTACAGTCTGCTATCAGTGCTCTGATACCACAGTGTAGAACTCTAATGTATTGCAAACTGACATTCTTTATTAATGACGATAGAAAGACTTAAATACTGGTGTTTACACATGATCTCAACACCTCACACGATCTGCAGCCCTACTAATCAGCTTGCATAATCTAACTGCAACTACAACTGCTCTACTCTAACTGCTCGACTCAACTGTACAAACTACAAACTACAAGGACCAAATGAACACTTAGCCAATAACACGATTTGGCTTTTATTCCACAGACTCTTAAATAAAACGATGCCGCTTCAGACTAACAGCAGCTTTCACACAATCCTAATCCGAAAAGGAAAAGGATTCCAGCTTCAGTTCAGCACTCCAACAGTCTCGACATGGTGACTGAATCGTGGTACCCGTATCGGGAGAGACCCGATTTCGACTATGTGTTGGACGTTTATGACAACTGGCTGGAACTGGGTGAAGTTTGCAGGACCAAGTTGTTTAAAGTGGAGCCGGGTAGCTCCTCTAACGCTAACAGCAACAGGCCTAGTTGCGTCAAGGTGTTGGATTTGATGATTCCCAAACCTGCAGGGGGATTTCATGATGATGAAAAGGTCGTCGACTCTGATGGATTCCAGCCACTTGAATATCTGAATTGTGATGTGAATGATGCAGTGGAATACGGGTTTGTAAAAGACGGAGCTGTTCTTCCTGTGGACAATGTGCACGGTGACGACTTGTTTTGTCTCTACAAGTTCAGGTTGGTTGAGTTGAGCAAATCTGCCGCCGCCCCAAACTCCCCTGTCTTTGGCTGCCGAATCCTGTCGAAAGCAGTGTACCAAGACTTTGGTCCACAGGGATCGCTACCTCAACTCCTCATGACTTCAGGCGGCTATTCCATCTGTAACTAGCTAGCAGCTGGGACATTCTGTAAAGGCCTGCTCGACCAGGTTATGAGCATTGGGAGATTTGCTCATATTGGGATTGGTTGTTGGTTTGAATGGACAGCGTGTGATGCTGATGATGGGGTTTTGTGTTAAAGATTGGTAATTTGGCGACACATGTATAAATAACACGCACTAGTCGAAGCTTGCGTTTTCAAATCTGGAGATTTAGATGTATCCAAAACCAAAACAAATTTTTGAGGTAGATGAATTTTGATGGATTTAGAGATGGGTAGATCTAGGAAGGTGTAAGACTTCGGTCATCTATTGAAGGCGATGTGTAGATCATAAAGGGGGAAGAGATTTGCTGGGATAAGGGGTCTAGGGAGATCTAACAAGGCATAAATAAGCCTTGTTCAAAATGTGTGAATAGCTTTTAACGCTATAAGTCTCGAGTAGAGAAAAATCACATTGGTAGTCAAAGGCTTACATAAGGTAATAAGGATTGGGTTCTCTCTTTTAACGACATATGCCCCTTGGATGACCCACTTTTATAGGGGAGAGGACGTAATGAACCACCACGAGCATGTAGTTCGTCCGACCGACTGGTCGTGATATGACCTCAAGTTGGAGGTCTTATGACTTGATCCACGCCAAGCTCGATCACTTCCTGGCCAATCTTCAACGCGAATAAAGTACACACCAAAACAAAGTTTTGGTTTTGAGACTTGGAATTAAAAGTGCAGCTTTGCATGATTGGGAAGAGGCTCTGTTAATATATGTGTAGCTGCTCGATCACAGTTAAAAGGAGAACTTGATTCATACAGAGACTCACTCGTGTGTATGGAATCCACCAACAGAGGAGCTAAATTCACAAGCCAATGAGCTCGATGAACTAGGGTTTATTATCAAAAGTGTTCGCCTCATTACAAGGACTAAACAAGCCTTTTATAGACTTTGAAACCATAAACCTATACTAAGAAGGGGAAAACTAACAATATAAGAGTAGTTAGGTTTGATTTTATGTGTTGAAAGTTTTTTTTTTTTTTACCGTGCACTTTAGATTTCGATTTATTTGATTTGGTGACACCTCAACTACAATCTTTTCTGGAATACTAGTACTTGGTTCGAAGAAATGAAGCAAAGGGAACTCTTAAAAATACATTACCCTAGGAAATCTCTTTTTTTTTTAAGTATCACTTTGATCGAATAACTACTCGGTTATCAAGAAATGTGTAAAAAATAATATCAAATTCTATTATAATCTAGTTAGTAAGTTATTAATATCATATCAGTTAAATCTTTGATTGTATTATTAATTTGATAGTTATTAAAAGATAAATAAGACTTAAAAGGAAACTTAATTATTTTTCCTTACTTTTTCATTAATATCTTGCATTGTTTCTATCTTTCTTCATAAGCAGTCATTATGTTGCCTTGCATCCTTTTACTTTGCATGTCAATATTTCTACTTAGGCGTTGAATACTACATGAATTTTTCTTATAAATATCAAATACAAAGCCAATTATACAACCGAGAAGACATAAAACTGAAATATAGAATTATATCTTTATTCTTAAGTTTTCAAGAGATATGGCTAAGTATTTTGCATTATACTTCTTGTTCTTCCTTCTGTCCATCGCCTCATTAGGTAAACTTTCTTACAAATTTATGAAAAATAATCAGGTGTATGTACCATAAAAATGTTTTAATAGTCATAGGATAGTGATAAAATATTATCAGATTGTTCTTCTTGGCCTCTCTTTTCATTTCGCTCTAATTAATTTCATAAATTTTTAATTTGAAGCAATCATGTATATGGATGCATATTATTGGTTAATTCAATTGCTTACAATTAATTATACTTGTCTGCTAATTGAAAAGGTGGAGACAAGATGGCAGCAGAAGCTAAATACTGTCACAAGACTTGGGATTGCAGTACCTTCGATCACTGCTTGGATGACTGTAAGAGCCGCTACGGCGGGAGAGGACATTGTCGTACCATGCATGCTCCCTTCATTCCTAAGCAATGCTTTTGCTATCATGAATGTTGAGAGGGAAAAAAATATACATAATTAATAAGTCTTACTAATAAGAAGTGTCAATTATATATATGGTAACCAAGGTTGTCAATCCGCGAGTTGACCCGGAGCCAGACGAGCTAGTGGGTCAAGGGTTAATGGGTCACCCGATTTAGCCCGAAAATATTGAAAGAGACATAATATTGTACTTATCTTGAATTCAACATAAAAAAAAATGCAACACTATCTAAACTCCAACACACTTAAATAACATTAACCTAAAACATAACCAATCTTAAATTCCTCTTCCACATAAACAATCTAAAATTCCAAATGATTATTAACAATTTCAAGGTTGTCATCCCGATTTGGTCAGTTGAACCGGTCGAGCTAGTGGGTGAAGGATTAATGGACTGACCAGTTTAGCCCAATTTAACTCGATTTAGCCCGATTATGTGGAAGAATTCAAAATTATATATAAATTAAACATAGATTTCGAAATTACAAAATGAAAAATATTCAATTCAAATTTAGTCAATTAAATGATACGGGCAATAGCTAAGCGGAAGCGATCCTACTGCCAACTTTTTTTTTTATTCTTTTTTATAGACACATTTGTCTAATTTTAATAAATATAACCAAACAAAAATTAAAGTATTTTGCTATCTGTTTTTACTTTTTACTTTTTCATTTTTCCCATCATCGGTAATTATGTTTCCGTTGTGCAAGTTCCAAAGAATCACAAAAACAAAAACAAGTCAAGAAGAGAGAAATTGAAAAGTGAAAAGGCAGGCCAAGGAAGGAAGGACTCGGAAGAGTCTGGACCCGTCCGGTTTTGGCCGAGTTTGATCGGGTTTGACTTTTCCAGGTTAAAGCTTTACCGGGTATTTTGCACCCGTTTTTGTTGCCGGGTCCGGATCAACTCGGGTCGACCCGCTGTTTGACAATCATGATGGTAACCAAAATACATATGTCTGGGTTAGACTTTTTTTTTATCATTGATGCAACACAAATTAGGGCTGGCTATTTGGTCTAGACTATTTGGTTTTACCCGAAACAGGACAGTATAACTCAGACTGGGACCGGACCGGACCGGGATAGTAAACAATCCAATCCTATCTTCGGGTTTAGATTTCAGGTAAAAAAATCATTTGGGACCGGATTGAAAACCGGATAAAGACCGGATAAGAGAGCCCAACACCCAAAACTTAACCAACTCCTCACCATTTGAGACCTTAGGCCACTCAAATCTCCACAAGCTAAATCTAAAATCAAGACCGAATTGGGACCGAACCGGGTCAAGACCGGAGCGGATCAAGACCGGAGTGTATCCAATCCAATCTTTGGTCCTTATATTCCCGAAAAGACAGAACTGGGATCGGATCAATTCGGTCCAATATAAACGGACCGAACCGTATAGCCACCCCTAACACAAATAAAAAAGGAGAATGACTTTAATTTGGGAAGATCTCCAACAATTCTTTCTAGATAACCAACAATGATATAATATGAATTAGCACACATCTAATCAATCCCACCAAAAATGGAAGGATAAGGATTATGCCATAAATGGATGGTTAAAGAAATATCACTTAGGAGAGGATGGCAACTTCTCTGTTTATGCATTACTCGCCCTTTGTCAATTCACTTATTCACCTACTGTTGAGTGATATGAATGTTCCAAATTGTTAAGTGAGAAGATCTAACCTTACTGAGGGCAAATAATCGATCATTTAAATAAGATGTGGATACTTAAAAGGGTTAATACCTTATTTTGGCCTGAACTATAATCATATAATCAACTTTGGCACGTGGTTTCAGAAATTAACATCCTGGCCTCAACTATACAACATATTGACTCAATTGGCCCGACACATGGTTTGGCCGTCAATTTGGACGGTCAAACCATTGACCGTTAGTCAACACGCCATGTCATTGCCTCGTCATCATAAAAATCATTAAAAATATTCAAATTCAAATTATTTTCCTCATTTATATTTTTATCATTATCATATTAACCAAAAAATTAAAATTATAAAAATATAAAATAAATTTAATATTTTATTTTTTTGGGTAATTTGAAAATGATAAATTTTACCAATTAACCAAAAATTATAAAATGATTTTTTAGTTAATTTGAAAATAATAAATAATAAAAATTCGAAAAATCATTTGAATTTGAATTTTTTAATAATTTTTAGGCTAACGAGGCAATGACATGGCGTGTTGAATAACGGTCAACGGTTGACCGTCCAAATTAACGGTCAAACCATGTGTATGGCCAATTGAGTCTATATGCTGCATGGTTGAGGCTAGGATATTAATTTCTGAAATCATCGGCCAAAATTGATTATATGGTCATAGTTCGGGCCAAAATAAGGTATTAACCCTACTTAAAATATCAAATTGGTAAAAAAAAACATCACTTTACTTAAAATACCTAATACGATATAAATACCGGATCCAAATATCACCACCCAAATACTCCATCTACAAACCAATTAAGTAGAGCGGCGGTAATTAGTGGTATGATTCCCTGCTTGTTTCTGATTGGGAGTTGGGACGAGTGATCTGGAAAAGTTGCGACTTGCGGGGTTTCTGCACCATATCTTGAAGAGGGTTTCCGTCAAGTACTGAGACGACACATAATTAAGAAACAAAAGCTTTCCTTCAATTCGCTAGAAATCATTTCTTAATTATCAAACATACTTATTTTCATCATTTCATGGAGAATGTTCCACGCCTGTTTTCATGCATATTGTATATCAATAAATGGCCAAGGTCAATCTTGTTAAATCCCAATTGGTGGTAAAACTCAAACCTATAAGGTCGTGGGTTAAGAGAATGTAATTGTCATGTTAATTAGGGAAATGCAAATGTCTTTTAGCATCCTGCACGCGAAGAAGAACCCAAGGAGGTTAGCAACCTCCGATTCAAGAAACCAAGAATCAACTTCCTAGCCCAAGGAGGTTAGCAATCATCAACTTTGACTTTGACTTTACATTCCTGAAATAAATAATAAATTCATTAAATTCATTAAAACTAAATCAATTTGTTTAGAATTCGTAAGGCGATCATGTTGCCGGTCATATCATTAGTGTTCACGTCGATTTCATAACCGACACCAATTCAACCAGTGACATGTTGGCCGGCGTGACATCACTCCCCGATTCTCAGCGCCGGAGAGCGGACACCCATGCCGCCCCTTACCGTCCGTACGCTCACTACTGCGCTTTTCCCTTTGCTGCAGCTTCCGTACGCTCAGCAGTTCCCTCCCCTTCCTTTGGTTGCTGGCACACGAAACCGGTGGGCAAAACCAGTACCAAGCACGCCACCGGCCATGATTCCTGCACAATATTCTGCCAGTGTTCAGCTCGATTGGTGCCCTCTCGAGCTTTGAGGAGGGTTCGATTGATTTCTCCGCCTGTCCTCTCCCAAATCCCAACACGCTTTCACTTCCTATTCCAGTTTCAGTTTCGGCTCCACACTGTGCTGCCATCATCGTTGATATTTCCCTTCTGACTGGTTACCTCGCTAAATGATTTGCAGATACTATCATCAGAGGTAGGACTTAGGAGTAGGGACTAGGTAATCAATGGTGCTGAATCAGTGTTTTGTACCCGTGTCAATACTCAATTGTGATTGAAAAATTAGTCCATTGCAGTCTAAAGTAGGGCTGGGAAACAGTCCGGTTCGGTTTAAACCGGACCGGATTGACCCAGTTTTTTTTACAACTGTATTGGAGAACTCCACAACCGAAGACGGGATTGGATTATTACCCGGTTAAAACCATGACCGGACTGGATTGATCCGGTTTTAACCGAAAAACCGGATCTCTTTCTTCCATCCCAAAACACAGTCGTTTGAATGACAAAAAAATCACCCTATCCGCCTCCTACCAACCACACAATACCTAATTAGACTATTAAAGGTCCTCTCCCTGGCCGACTCATCTCATCCTCCTCCGCCATCATCGAACTGCCGACATCGAACCCTACTCCGCTGCGAAGTTGATAGAGAGTGATTGCTTCCGACGCTTTGGCCTTGTGATGGTTGGATCTGGAAATCTATCCTTGATTCTGCTGATGGCTCTTCGTGTTCATCGCTGACCGCACCTTCGCCCATCAAGCTTTGATCCGAAACGCCAGGCCTGCTTGAAATTGACGCTCGCCGGTCAGGTCAGAATGGATTTCTCTATTCCTTTCTCCTCTGTCATGTGGTTTGAGGAGCAGAACTCCTCCCTGTTTGAATCAATAAAAGAAACACTAATATAAAAACAAATCTCTTATCGGAGCATGGGAGTCAATTCTACTTCTCGTCGTTTAATTGCGACGAGACGACTATGAGCCTCCGTCATGCGGCAGTTTGGCTTTTAATGGGATTTTCAGGATCTTTATATGGCCTTAATAATATTCTCTACTCTATCAATTCTTTTTCCAATCTCTATTGATGTTAGTTATTGATTATTGACAATTTAATCTTGTGAAATTTGTTTTGGTGGTCCGTGGTGGTATCTCTTCTTCATTGTCATTGCCTCCTGCCACTGCTACTACGGATTCGTGCCTGCCACCATCATCACCTACCTTTGCGATGAAAATGATGGGGGACGATTGTGAGTGCGGAGATTCATTCAACTACGTAGCTTCCGTTTGGCTTCCCCTTCCCGCCGGCATCTCCCAGATATTCCAGATCTACCTCTTTACGATAGTTACGTCCTACTGGCCGTTGCGTCGGTTCCGTATGCCACACTTTTGTCGCAAAACTTCCGTTCGTGGTCATGTGGAATGATAGTGTCCAGGTACGCGTTTCCTCTCTTGATTTCATTATTAGTTTTTATCTTGATTTTATTTTAGTATTATGGTAACTAAGACCATTTTTCTAAAAGTATGGCATGGATTTGGTTACCACGTATTCTATCTTCATGTTTTTAATTTTTGGTTTCTAAAATTGTAATTTAAGGAGTGAGTAATACAATGGGTGCCTAACGCATTTTATTTTATTTTCCAAATTTCATGGGATTATCAACATCTGATTCGACGGATGGTCGGAGGTGACTTCACTCATGATCAAGGTGGAGCTTTACTGAAGGATACTCGGGGCTTGGCTCTCTTTTCCATTATGTTTCTTATTGTTTTGTTCTTCATCAGACTCAATAGGGCTGCCCATCTTGTGGCACAAAAGGCCCTTTCATCGAGAGTTCGACTATTGGTCGACTCTCGCGCTTTTTATTTCTTTTGTACGGCTGCCTATTTCAACACCTGACTTTGCAAAAAAAAAAAAAAAAAAACCCACACAATACCTAATCGATTCCCTACCTTCCCCCAACTTCCATCTACCTTCGTGATTCTTCTTCTCCTTCTCCCTCTTCTGGAGCGTGAACCGGAAAGGGGAGATAGAGCGAGAAAGGCAGCATGCAAACTCTGGAGAGGCGATGCATGTCGTCGCCCGTCGCGTGTCGAGCGATCAGATCTCCTCGGTCGCCGTCACCATTGCCATCGCTGGGAATTTGGAGAGCTTTGGTGCACATAGTCTAAAGTATGTGGACGCCTTGATATTCAGGAATTCTTCCTTCCTGCAAATTTGCTTCCCGTGTCAAATTTGATTCTAGTATTATTGAAAGAAATAGGTACATTACGACAATATCAACTATAAAATACCCGGACAGTTTTGGTAATCCAGTCTGAGAGACGTTGCATTATTCAAAGCTTTGAACATGGAGATCGGACGTTGAAGCAAGAGATCCTTGTTATCCCCCCTCTCGAGTTCCCCATCACAAAGCCGAAGATGAGCATGAACGAGGGAAGGAGGGCTTTGTGTTGGCGGAATTCAAGAATTGCAAGTCATGCCCTAGTTTGAAGGATTCGAGTTTCGGTGAGCATATTTCTATCCTCGGAGCATGAGATCAGTCAATCCGATTCCAAGGTTTCAGAACTTCCAACCAACAAATGTACAAATTCATAGTCGTCTCTAAAACCAGAGTACTGAGATTCAAAACCAAAGCTTCACTCATCTTAGTTCTAGAGTTTTGACATTGCTATTCACGACTGAGCCAAACAAACGGGAGAATTCAAAATTGTACTTGGAAAAAACCATTTTCACGAAATATGTTCTTCACAAGGATAAAGATAGGGATAGAAATACCCTAGGTCCTCCAACTGATTTCCACTAGCTATATCGATAGAAACTCGATCCCATGGCGAAAGCAGTCTACTCCCATTCATCAATAAACTCGATTCGTGGTTCGTCACCAGGCGATCCTTTGCGAAAATAATTGACCACTTCCATAGGTACGCTGTTCGACCGCGAAAACAACTTCAAATGCGCCAATCTCGTAAAAGGAGCGGGTTGCTGTTCCAGAACCCCAGAAATCCTACTCAGTACCTGCACATAAAAAGACCCCTTCAACCTTACAATCTTGAAGGTAATATATCTGCTACAAGAAACCGTTTTTACATAAATTAGAATGCCAAACATTGTTAAAAGCACAAAGGGAATAATGCATTGCATACCTTCACGGTCTGGGAACGCAGCGTCAGAGATTTAACGTTGTGCAAATCTTGGAACAAAGAGATCAAATGTTGCTCTCTTATGTCACGGAGCTCAAACGGAAAGTAACCGCCGACTTCAGCATGCTCGAGGGAAGGAAGGCTGAACTTTGACAGCGCCTCAGAATCAGGTACCTCACTTGTGCAAAAGCTCAAGAATTTGAGTTTTGGTGCACATACTTCAACTTGCTGAAAAGGCACAGGTAAGAGCATCAAGCTAAGCAAATGGAGGCCCGATATGCTACCCGAATAGCCGTAGCATTCGCACTTCTCGATGGCTAAATTCTTCAGACAAGGGAAATTAGAATCAGAGAACACATCCCTAGCATCCAGCCAGCAACAGTACAAATTCAGAGTCGTCAGGGACCTAAAACCAGAGAATTCAGATTTGTAGTCGAGCTTCACCCATCTCACTTCCAGAGTTTTGACATTGCTGCTGTTCGTGACCGAGCAAAACAAACGGGAGAAGTCGAAATTCTCCTCGAGCTCCAACTCATGTTCGAGCTCAATCACAACATGTTGAGCATCGTGGGAGAAGGCATGTTCGATGACCCTCTCGAACAGGGGATGATCCCGTCGTTTGTGCATAATCTCCTCGTCGACGAAGCAGACCTTGCGGAGACTAAGGGGATAGCGGAGGGACATCACTTTGTCCCCAAACCTTTCGAAACGCGAATACCGCTCGAAGGAAGCTGTGTTTAGATCGAGGACAGGTACATTTTTCCAAGCGCATCGCCATGATCGGGACAACACAGAGGTCTGGACGGCGGATTTGGAGTCGAGAAATGAAAGGATGTGGTAAATAATCGGTTCAGGAAGATGGCTTAACCTGTTACGACGCCCTTTTCGAGCTCTCTCCATAGACGCTTTCTGGAGAACCTCCACCGCCGCGTCCAGGGCAAAAGAGAGATAACCCCCCACCGGTGTAAATCCAAACACCACCGCCGGAATCGCTCAAATAGCAAAGGAGACTTACTGGGTTAGAAAGTTATGGACATTTGTTGGCACCGGAGGAACCACATCTCTCCGATTTAGGGTTTCGCAGGGGAAAATGGGGGACGTGAGTACGGAAGTTGAATCGAAATGTAAGACCGCGAAACGATTTTGAGCTTTGCATTGCTAGTTCTTGACTTCTTGTGCAGCTTGGTGGACCCAGTTTGTGGACTCTCAACAGTGTGGGCTATAGGCCCAGACTATTAACAAATATGAAAGTGAGCTATATGCACTTCCATTCACATTTCGCTAATCTACACATAATATAATACACCGAAGGGAAAAACGGGAGCTCCATTTCAAATTTCTTGCAATGAGAGTGAAAGTAGAAATGACATTTTGGTCGTCACAATTACTTTTTTTATTCATTAAAAACACACATACTGGGATTCGAACCATGACCATTTTAAAGAAAAGCAAGAATCATAACCAATCACACTAAGTACATTTATTGTATTTTTTTAAATTAAAAACATATAATAGAAGGGAGGAAAAAACCCTTCTCCCATTTCAAATTTCATGCTCCAGAAGCGTTTGTAGGAAGGGTAGAATAGAGAGTGTCAATTCTTTTCTCTTTCCTATGTGGAACGGGCCAACTTACCGTACACATGCGGATTTAAACGGGTCCAGGAGTTTCAATTTTTTTTTTAAGCCCTTTTATTTCTTCCTGGTGATAAAATATATATGAAAAGACAAAAACAAAACTCCTTTTTATTGCTAAAAATAAAAAATTTAACAATAAACTAATGCATGGTATCTAATGGGCTAACCGCTAACCATAAAATAAAAAAGTTGAATGGGTCTGATCTACACGGGATTTGGCCATCAAGTAAAACAAATGAACATCATTGGTTTGCCATTCTAAAACAAGCTATTTTCTCTGGCATAATGTATATTATGCTATTATTTTATATCTTAGTGGCTAAAATATAATATATTATAAAGTTATTCAATGGTTCAACCTCGACCAACCCAATTAGTCCAATTTTTATCATTTCAAATATATATTATATAATTATTTGATATCATAATGATCAAATTATAGTGTATTTTATAGGGAATCGTTTGATATTTGTTAGTAAAAAAACTAAACAGAACGATCTATTTGGTTATTTTAAACATTAAAACGATCCTAAACATTTTCAGTTCCTTTTGAATTTTTATGGTTTTATTCTCGAATAAGTGTTGTGCAAATGGCGAATTGCAGTCATCTCTTTCCTTTCACAATTTTTTATTTTAAAATAGAAAGTTTAAAAGTAAAGAATAATTAGAATTTGGCATGTGTCGGTCAAACATGCTGAATTTCAAGTTTTGACCCGTTTTGATCAAGTCTAATTTATAATCACATGGTTCCCTGATACCCGATCAAAATCTCACAGGTGAGTCTGTGTTTACCACCATTTTCTAGGGATACGACAACGACGGTTCCTATCCCAAATCGTGTTGTTCGTTCTTGATTTCCTTAGATTTTATCATGGCCTAACAAAAACCAGAAAGCACAATGACGATAAGAGGAAAGTTTTATAAAGCAAATTAATCGACCAACGGGCCGAGTAAAAGCTAGCAACGATTATGAGATGCTCATTTCCCGAAAACCGACGGGATAGGCGATTTTTTATTCGATTTTCTAGAATTCGGTTTCTATAAAAATTAATCCACCTCATCATATTACCAGAAACAATATTGTTTCACAAGGTAACATGTACTTGATTTTGGTTCATAAGGCCGATTTTTGATTCATTGCATCATTCATGTCTCTTTCCTACTAAAATTCACTATTTTTATCACGAATTTCCCAAAAAAAAACTATACAACAATAAGCTATACACCCCATTATATTATCAAATTTCATACCTCACCTTCTTCCGGCCAACTGGCCGGGGCCCACACTAGTATGAAAATAAGGTGCATAACTTTGTATATTCATATATGGAATTATGGATGCTTCATTTTAAGTCGGATCAAATCTGATGGTTTTCTTAATCGAATTTTATTTTTATTTTTCTTAGTTTTCTTAATTGATTTTTATCTTCTTCGTTATAACTTGCATTTTCAAAAAAAACTGCATAGATACAATGAGTTCGTTGTGATCTACAAAACGAGATCAATTTTCAATATTTTGAGAGAAAAAATTCATAACACTAGTTACCACATGGTACCACCTTCATTTTTAACTCGAATTTTGAAAAATTCTGCCCAGAAGAACATGTTCATCGTAATCTATTGGATCTACAAATTTTTGGTGGAAAATTTTTCATGACCACATATACCACCCTGGCATAGGGTGGTAACTAGTGGTATACAATGATGAAATGTGGTTATTGATAGTTCAAATATTCATATCACTATGTATACAACCATTCTACACTAGCATATATTCATACTACCTTGGTACACTTCCATAACACATGGTATAACCTTAAGTACATACCAAATAGTACCACATGGAACAAACTGTTAATAAAAGTGTTAATTTTTTGTTTCAAAGTATATCAAAGTGGATTTCATTTTGAAGAACATAATTAATTTGATTTTTCGGTGCAAATAAATTTTAATTTCGACTTGCAATGAAAGAGAAATAGTTTGCTAAAATTAAATGGGGAATAGCTAGAGACCTTCCATGAATTGTAAGTGCAGGATTATGCATAGTTATTGACCATAAAGTTACTAACTAGAACAGTTCCCATCGTACAAGCCCTTATATTATACAAAGTTAACAAATAAGCTCTTATACCATACTTCTAATAAAAGAGGCCATTGTATTATGGTTAGATAACAAATAATCACTTCTGTTAAAAACTTAAACTTATCTGTTAACTAATGGAAAACGAGTTACTTATTCGGCGCATGATATGAGCATGGATTGCCTCTTAATCAAGTTAGAAATACTTGCCAACGAAACCAACTCAAAACAACATTCAACTATGGATTTTTGGCTAAGGCATGGTACTGTTTTTGGTAGCCTACTTTGTAAGACTCTCCCTCTCAAGTGGCTCGTTGAAAATGGGAGTACAAGGCCTCATCTTGAACTCCAAGTGTTGCTGGACATGTTGGTGTGCTTTGAAGTTCGAAGGGAAGCCGGGAAGCACAGTTTCAAGGCCCGACAAGATGGTAGCTCAATGCTGGGAAAATGGCGGAATTGCCTAAGTATCAAACTGTGAGCAGCATAGCTACTTTGGAGGCTCACTCCGGGAAGATGGCGCCGAATCAAGAGAGAAGCTTCAGGCCACATGAAACTACGTATTTCCTAGTACAGAAACAAGGAGTTGGGTGATCGAGTTCATACCCAGAAGACCTCGAACTGGGACGCTGAAGATAGTATCAAGGCTGTTTGTTTTCTTGCATTTTAAGTTTCCATGTTGTGTTAGTATTAGGACTGTTTTGGGTTTCCTTGTTTCTCTCGACTTTCCTTGTTGTTTTAGGTTTATTGTTAGTTCTATTTAAACTCAAAAGGGGACTTGTAATCGTGGACAGCAATAAAATTGAAGTTTTAACCCTAAAAACTAAGTTTCAACAGCTTGTTTTTGGTTGAGAGCTTGGCCGAGACAACCAAGCTCGATTGAAGCCCTTGTATCGGTCAAAAACCACATTGATCGTGGGCGGGCATCGACGTATAGTTGCTGAGCCTTCCTCCAGGTGAAGGATTGCACACAACTTCCACCAACCTTGTCTTCCTCATCGGCAGAACACCAAATCTAGTTCCGACGAGTTCAACGCAAGGGAAGAGCTTGACTTGTAGCTCCTGTTGTCCGAAAATCAAATTAAAAACCCCAGGGGTTTATCAAGTGGCATCAGAGCCTTAGGTTCAAAGCAGTGGCAAGGAAGATTTCGGCAAAGGAGGGCGTTGCCGACGCAGCGCCTTGGACGAGGTCAAGGGGCCCTGTTTCAGGTGACCCCGAGGTGCTGATTTTGGAGCATCAGGCGAAGAAGAAGAAAGCGGCTATGGGGGATCAACAACCTATTACAATGGCGGCCTTACAACAATTGTTCCAAGAGTAGTTTGCACAGGTTAATCAACAATTGGCCGAACTTCAATTGAGGGTTCCCGCTTTGCCGGCAAACGAGCAGAGGAACCAGGAAAATCCTCTCCAGGATCGTGAACTAGAGGGTGTCAATCGAGACTTGTTGGCACGAATTGAAGAACTGGATCAACGGGTTCTGGTAGCTGAACCAAATCCTCGACCATTCCCAGGTTGTCGTGAACACAGGAATCGGCGACCGGAAACGGAACCTGCTCTTCCTCAGGGAGTTAAGCTGACGATCCCAACGTTCCAAGGAACGATGAACGCTTCCACCTATCTTGATTGGGAACGTAAGATGATCCTGTTCTTTCGTTGTGGGCAATTCAGCGAGGATCAAAAGGTAGCAATGGCCACTTACGAGTTTTCGGATTATGCTGCACAATGGTGGGAGCAAATCCAAATTCGCCGGCAACGTAACCTGCAAGCTCCAGTCGAAACGTGGGACTGAAGTTGCGTAGGACTTGATGAGGGATCGCTTTGTCCCAGGCCTATTTACCTACGCGACCTCTATGATACGCACTACAAGGCATTCGCCAAGGATCGAGGAGCGTCGAAGAGTACTTTCAGAGAGCTCGAAGTTGCTCTTGACTGCGGGCATGACTGTGCGATGAAGACAGGGAGGCTACGATTTCGCGATTTTTACATGGCCTGAATCGCGAGATTCGACAGGAGGTGGAGTTGAGGCCGTTTGTCGACCTGGAAGAGGTCGTGCATCTCGCTGTCAGGATCGAGAAGCAGCAGAAGACGGCGACAGGACGGCGATTTTCCCCTGCAGCGAAAACTGGAGCAGAGCCACCAGCTGAACCCACTCTGCCTCCACCACGAACCGACGCGGTGAGACTAGCCCCCCGTAACACCAATCCCATTGCAACTGAACGTTCTGGGACGATCCAGTGCTTCAAGTGTCACGGACGGGGACACAAGGCTAATCAATGTCCTAATCCTAAGGCCTTGATTCTCCGGGATGGAGAATACGTCACCGACGATGAGGAGCAGAGCTCTGATGACGACACAACCGACGAAGACATTGAAGTGGAGAAGGCACCCACAGGGAAGCTGATGACTGTTAGCCGGAGAGC